GTCTGCTTTGGATTCTGTGTCTCCCTCTCTCTCTGCCCCCCCTCTGCTCGCACTCTGTCTCCCTCAAAATAAACATTAAAAAAAATTTTTTTAAGCCACCACCTCTTCCATGGCCCTGCCCCCACCCCAATACCGGTGTCCCCTGGCCCTGTCTTGGCTCAAGACTTCACTTGGCCTAAAATCCACCCTCCACCCCAGGCTGGCGGCCAGCCCCGCTCCCTCTAACTGCAGTCTGTGGCTCTCAGCCCCCAGGCACCCTCCGCACCCAACAGAGGCTGCTCAGAGCGTATGGTGAACGAAATAAAGTAGTATGGGGGTGAGGGGAAAATAATAACACAGCACGCTCCGACTGAGCCCCTGAGGGTGCCAAGCACGGACCCAAAAAACCGAACAAGCAAAATCCTTCCTTTCAGGGGGCTCACTCTCTGAAGCCAGGGAGACACGGGGGCCTGGGTTCGAATCCCAGCTCTGCCACTGGCCAGCTGCACGCTGACGGGCAGGTAGCTGAACTCCCTGGGCCTCAGCCTCCCCATCCGCACAGTGGGGTTCATCACCATCCCTGCCCCGCCCTGGGCTGCCAGTCCCCATGGAGGGCATGGGACACGCCTGGAGTGAGCGCTGGCCCCCAGATGTCACAGCGCCTGCCGTTACCATCAGAGCAATCGTAGCGATGGGAGTGGCTGACGAGCGGGTGAACTAGTGACTCCCCGCGGTGCACTGGGTCCTCTCCCTTGTCACCTCATCACAACACGTGCCCCACCCGCTGCCCTCTACAGCTCATCGCCCCGTTCCGCCTTCTTCCGACCGTGTACCCCGCCTGCGAGGACTCTGTTGGCCTCAGCTAGGACACAGGTTTGTGTTTTGCCCTCCTCCAGACTAGAACTCCACCAGAATATGGGCTGCGTGGCTCTCATTCACCAACAGTGACAATAACCACAACAGCTCGTGGGTACAGAGCACGGACTACATGCCAGGCACTGATCTAAAGGCACGAAAAGCAGAAACTCATTTATTCTTCACAGCAACCCTTAGAGGCAGGTCTCAGTGTTCTCCCCATTTTGTGACGCAGACAAGAAGGCACTTGGGGCGCCCGGGGGGACTCAGTCGGTTGAGCGTCCAACCTCGGCTCAGGTCATGATCTCACGGTCCGTGAGTTCGAGCCCCGTGTCGGGCGGGCTCCGTGACGACGGCTCGGAGCCTGGAGCCTGCCTTGGATTCTGTGCCTCCCTCTCTCTCCGCCCCTCCCCTGCTCGTGCTCTGTCTCTCTCTCTTTCTCTCAAAAATAAACATTCAAAAACAATTAAAAGAAAAAAAAAGAAAAAAAGACGGCACAGCGAAGCCAGGTAACTTGTCACTTCACTAAGAAAGTGACAGCAGAG